CCCAAAACCCCAAAACCCCAAAACCCCAAAACCCCAAAACCCCAAAACCCCAAAACCCCTTTGAAATAAGAATTTATTGAAAATTAGTCTAAACATACCACATTCGAACTGCTATTTTCATCTCGTGGAGTTCCATCCAACTTGAAATTTTCCTTTGATTTCCTCCTTTTTATACCAAGGCCTGCTTTGGAGTTATTCACAGATGACTTCTTAGGCCCAGGATCTTTCTTGGTGTATTTCTTCGATTTTTTACGTCTTTTCTGCTTTCTTGGGGTTGAAGTTAGATTATAGTCATCCAAATTTTCAGTCTGCTGTGATTCTTTCTGAGGGCTAAATAAAGTAGATGATGGGTTCTGTTTGAAGAAATCTATGGTTGATGACTCTTGATCAAGGATTAAAGAACTTTGATCTTTGGAGCAATTTTGAATGGCATTTTTCAACTCCTTGTTACACCCTTCTATGGCTTCAACCTCACTTGGAGTCATTGAATTTACTGGTTTCATACTTCAATAATAGCCGTCGCTTGGAGCGATCTGGTTAGGATTATAGAGGGCAACAGAAGGCTTATTTTTACTTATTTTCTCCTTATCAGCATATTCATTACCATAACTAACTGTCGAGATCTCAATACAATCACTAATCTTTGAATCACTTTCTTTTGATTCTGTAATATTTGATAAGCAAATTTCACCAGTCCTTGAGTGAGTTTCTGAACTTTCAAATGCCTTTTCAAGCTTTTGGGGATTTCTATCTTGGCTCATAAGATTTCCATTATGAGATTTATTGTGCATCGAAATGAAGTCCTCAACCTTCTTGTTCACTACACTTTTGTAATCAGCCAATAGCTTCGAGAGGTAGCCTATGTCAGACTCAAGTTTATGGATTTTGGTGTCCTTCGTTTCATTCTCGGTAACTATTCTGGTGACCATGCTTGAGAGGCTTTCAATCAAATTCTCTTGCTCCTGCTGCTTCTTTCAAAGGGTTCGCAGCTCATCTTTTGAGAAATTTATGGCTGTAGGCCCAACCTGAGGGATCGGTAATGCAGCTATGATAGGATCCATTGTCTGAACCCCATTCGCAAATTGATTAGCAATGCTTGGCCGGAAGTAATCAGCAAAGGTTTGGTTGTTCACATTTCCTCCTAGACCTAAGCCTGGAGACTGTGCTTTGTGGTTAACTGACATATAGTTCTTTGAAATCAATGTATTTCAGCTTTCACTAAATAAAGCAATTTTATTCCCCTGGATCTTATTATTAAAATTTCATAGGTTTAAATAAGATGCTTCATCTTGGAAATCTTTTGCTGTGACAATATAACTCAGGTGCTCCTGATGCTTCTTTTTCTGATATGATGTGATGAACCCCCAACACATGATGCAGGCGGATTTCTTGTTATTTACTGGAGTAGTTATCTTCTATTATCTTGATGAATTTGATGTACTCTTCTGAATCTTTTGGGACATAAATCAGAGTTGGGGTGTATGCGAGGGTCTGAGGCTCTCTATTTTGTAGCATTTTATACCAAAAATCTTTATAAAAGCTTGCACTTCCTGTGAATTCAAATATACCCAAGAAGGAATCTTTCAATTTAAATTTGAGAACACGGGGTTTTGGGGTTTTGGGGTTTTGGGG